GCCCCCCGTTCTTCTGTAACAGACGCACGAGCCTACTGCAGGTACTTTTGTGCAACCACCACAAAAAACTATTCCACCTCCAACTCTAGTAGGGTAAGTTAGACTGCGACCACGGGAATTGACCGCGTCGAGTGTTGGATCAGTACGGAAATACGAAGGTACTGGGTAGAGAGAGATCGGAACGGTATATAATGTAAAGACAACAACAACAACAACAACAACAAATACAACAACAACAAAAACTGCTGAAGCTTGTTGGAACCTTTCCTCTCGCTGCAGAAAATATCACCGCGGGCACATGTGTTAAGGAGTGTTGCTGTATGGCACAGATAGGGTACACAGTCGGTCTAGATTAAGATGGGGGACGTCAGGAGGTATACCCTCTTAGGACGTACCCCATCGGGACTTAGCTATCTGCGTGCCCCCAGGTTGAGGGCAATCCGCCTCACCTCAGACCTGTAGCAGACCCGCTTCTGCAATAACAAGCAACCTTCCCATCTCAACGTGCTCGTGGACAAGAGTGTCTACGGCAGAATCTACATCTACTACATCTAGGAGGCAAGCCACCGTCGGGCGGGCATTCCTTTAAACTTGGCGTCAACCTGGCAGGCACGGTAAGAGAGAATTGGACGCGATTCTTCCCTTTTCGTGCGACGAGGCACGCTTTGCTCACGACCACCACGTTGCTTGTTGTTAGGTCTCACCACCCACGAGAATTTAGACTTCGCCCTTATTGGCGATTACCTTTGGGATGCCGGCTCATGATGCTTTTGCTCGTCGCTCACGAGACTGGGACCTTGCTAGTGATACGCGCATAGGAGGGCGCCGCGGTGATTCTCCCGATTTTTCTTACATGAAATGCCCATCACGAGCCATTTTGTCTGCTTCGGGAGTGCATGAAGTTCTTTCTGTGGCGGATACGTTGTGGCGGCAGCGGCCTGAGCTGCAACCCAGGTTTAGTGGGGCTCGAGATGACAGCATGCTCCCCGCTTCTACTACTGCTCCTACTGCTTTTGTGCCGGCTTACCGGCCTGCATCCGCCGACTTCCCCGTGGTGCTCTCTGATTTGACTGCACGTATTTCGACATGGCGAATTTTATGTGAACACAAGTTGGGCGTTCGATACACCACCGATCTGCCCTTCATTTTTCGAGAACAACTCACTTTTTTTTT